CCAGTTCTAACTGTTGCTTCCTGACCTGCATACAGGTTTCTCAAGAGGCAGGTCAGGTGGTCTGGTATTCCCATCTCTTTCAGAATTTTCCACAGTTTATTGTGATCCACACAGTCAAAGGCTTTGGCATAGTCAATAAAGCAGAAATAGGTGTTTTTCTGGAACTCTTTTGCCTTTTTGATGGTCTAACGGATGTTGGCAATTTGGTCTCTGGTTCCTCTGCCTTTTCTAAAACCAGCTTGAGCATCTGGAAGTTCACGGTTCATGTATTGCTGAAGCCTGGCTTGGAGAATTTTGAGCATTACTTTATTAGCGTGTAAGATGAGTGCAATTGTGTGGTAGTTTGAGCGTTCTTTGGCATTGCCTTTCTTTGGGATTGAAATGAAAACTAACTGACTTTTTCCAGTCCTGTGGCCACTGCTGAGTTTTCCAAATCTGCTGACATATTGAGTGCAGCACTTTCACAGTATCATCTTTTAGGATTTGAAATAGCTAAACTGGAATTCCATCACCTCCGCTAGCTTTGTTCATAGTGATGCTTTCGAAGGCCCACTTGACTTCACATTCCAGGACGTCTGGCTGTAGGTGAGTGATCACACCATCGTGATTATCTGGGTCGTGAAGATCTTTGAAATACTTACTCAGCCATAAAAAAGAATGAAATTTTGCCATCTGCAGCAACACGGATGGAAGGCATGATGCTAAGTCGAATAAGTCAGACAGAGGAAGACAAATACTGTGTGATATCACTTACAGAAGAAAACTAAAAGAATACAACAAACTAGTGAATATAACAAAAGAGAAGCAGACTCACAGATATAGAGAACAAACTAGTGATCACCAGCAGGGAAAGGGAAGCCGGGAAGAGTACATAGTGGTGTCCTGAGGAGGTCTGATGTTACTCAGGGTCAAGGAAGCTTTGCTGATACTGAGTGGGGCTCACCACCAGGTTCTTATTTGTATTTTCGACTTTATTTGTATATCGACTTCACATGTTGTCGTTTCCCCACCTTCTGTGGTTCTGAATGGCTGCAGCCACAGGGCTGTCTGTGTCTGAGCACAAAGGCCACGGCAGACTGAGACAGGAGGAGGGGACAGAAGAGGAAGCCTCTTGCTAGCTTTTAGTGGTTCTCAAGTTCGTGTGAGAATCTGAAGGACTTGTGAAAACCCAGAGGCTCTTCCCACCCCCAGAGTTTTCGACTCTGTGGTCGGGCCCCGGGATGCTGAGGCTGCTGTGGGGACCACACTCTTTTTTTCTTTTTTTTAAAGGTTATACTCCATTTACAGTTATTATAAAATATTGGCTATATTCCCTGTGTTGTACAGTTTATCCTTGTAGATTGTGTTTGTGTGTTAGTTGCTCAGTCATGTCCGACTCTTTGTGACCTCATGGACTGTAGCTCACCCGGCTTCTCTGTCTGTGGAATTTTCCAGGCAAGAATACTGGAGCAGATTGCCATTTTCTCCTCCAGGGGTCTTCCTGACCCAGGGATCAAACCTGCATCTCTTGTGTCTCCTGCATTAGCAGGCAGATTCTTTACCACTAGTGCCACCTGGAAAGCCCATCCTTGTAGCTTATTTTATTTTTATTTATTATTTTATTTTATTTTTTGTCTTAAAAATTTTTTTTTCTCCTTGTAGCTTATTTTATTCACGTTAAGTTGTTGTTCAGTCACTAAGTCATGTTCAACTCTCTGCCACCTCATGGACTGCAGCATGCCAGGCTTCCCTGTCCTTCACCATTTCCCAGAGTTTGCTCAAATTCATGTCCATTAAGTAAGTGATACTCTAACCATTTCATCCTATACTGCCCTCTTCTCCTTTTGCCTGCAGACTTTCCCATCATCAGGCTCTTTTCCAATGAGTCAGCTCTTCGCCACAGGTGGCCAAAGTATTGGAGCCTCAGCTTCAGCATCAGTCCTTCCAATGAATATTCAGAGTTGATTTCCTTTAAGATTGCCTGGTTTGATCTCCTTGCTATCCAAGGGACTCTTGAGAGTCTTCTTCAGCACCATAGTTTGAAGGCATTTATTCTTTGGTGCTCGGCCTACTTTATAGTCCAACTCTCACATCTGTACATGACTACTGGAAAAACTATGGCTTTCACTATATGAACCTTTGTTAGCAAAGTGATATCTTTGCTTTTTAATACATTGCCTAGGTTTGTCATAGCTTTCCTTCCAAGGAGTAAGTGTCTTCTAATTTCATGGCTGCAGTCATCGTCATCGTCCACACTGATTTTGGAGCCCTAGAAAATAAAATCTGTCACTGTTTCCACTTTTTCTCCTTCTGTTTGCNAATGAAATCAGGCACCTTGGGTAGTAACACTGTTAAGACACAGTATAAAACTGGAAAGAATTCAAAGCCCTCAATGTAAGGTGTAAGGTATGATTCAACACAAACATCATTGACCACTCTTTCTGAGTATTGAGTTTTGAGTATTCCTCTAAAGGGCAGAACCGCCTGGTGATTTTGGCTGAGAAAATGACTCAGTGGTTTATTGCTTTTCCCAGTCCTATCACATTTCAGTTGTCACATAATACATAATACACATTGGTAATTATAGCTACTGTGATGTACTTTAGATCCTCAGAATTTATTCATCTTATAGTTGGCAATATTCAATATATACTCTCACCAACATCCTCCCATCCCCTTCTACTCACTTCAGTCTTTAACAAATACCGTTCTACTCTCTCTCTCTGTTAAGTTCAGCTTTTTTAGATTTCACATATTAAGTAACAACATATGGTATTTGCCTTTCTTTTTCTGGCTTATTTCACTTACTATAACACCCTCAAGGTCCATCCATATTGTCACAAAAGTTAAGATTTCTATTTTTAAAAAATGGCTGAATAGGTTGGATGCATGAGACAAGTGCTCGGGCCTGGTGCACTGGGAAGACCCAGGGGGATCGGGATGGGGAATACGTGTAAATCCATGGCTGATTCATGTCAATGTATGACAAAACCCACTACAATATTGTAAAGTAATTAGCCTTCAACTAATAAAGATAAATGATAAAAAATAAATAAAATGCCTAGAAGAAAAGCTTTAGCTCATGAAAAAAAAAGAAAAGAAAAATGCAGTAAGAGGAAGGGGTAGGTTGAAATTGATTTGAATGGGCAGGCGGGTCTCCTGAGGAGAGACATGAAGGCAGGGAGGATAGTCTTGGGGGAAGCGCTTTCTAGCAGAAGGGCCCAGCAAGTGCAAGGGACCTGAGGCAGGAGCCCTGGTTTGTGGGCAGAGGAGCGCCATGTGAGAGATGGGGCTGGGTGACCCGCCTTCTCTGCCCACCGGGCCTTGCGTGTCCATAACCTGGGGTCTTGGGGCCGCGAGGGTTTGGCTCTCACATCAGTGTTGGCAGCTTGTCTTCTTGGCTGTATCATGAGGTGTGTCCATCCTCTCATTTCAGACTCAAAGGCAGTACATTGAGGCCACCAATGAGAGCAACCGAATCTTCCTGTATTGCGCCTTCCTGGACTTCAGGTACTGTCTGTGTGGGAGGGTCCCCAGGTCAGGAGGGGGCAGAGAAGGGGACGGAGGGAGTGGGGAGAATAGGGAGGGAGGTGGCCAGGATGTCCATGCTCGGTCACACACCCGACCAGATTATGATCTACTTTTATTGTTTTTTGCTTCTTATATTCTCCTTTTCTTACTCCATTTGGATTTTTCTGCGTATTTTTGATGCCATTTTTTCTCTGCTATTGACTCCTGGTGTCTACTTCCTTTTAATTTTTTTGTAGTGATTGCCCTAGGGAGCTTAGAATATATATCTTTAATTCATCTGTGTCTACCCGCCAATAATATTATACCACCTTACATGTACTCGGAGACAATACAAAAATCATTTCATAACACTTCTTGCCCGTAATTAGCACTATTCTTATTATACATTTTATCTTTACAGATGTCGTAAATGTACAGTATGTGGGGAGTATTGTTGCTCTAGGTAATTCATTGTCTTCTAAAGAAATTTAAATTAAGAAACTAATAATTTCGGGGACTTCCCTGGTGATCTAGGAGCTAAGACTCTGAACTCCCAATGCAGGGGCTACAGGTTCAATCCCCGGTCAGAGGACTAGATCCCACATGCTGCAACTAAGACCCAGAGCAGTCAAATAAATAAATAAAAATAAATATTGAAAACATAATAATTTCCCTTCATGTTTTCAATATCCAGCTATTTTATTTCTTTGTGTAGAACACACTTTCTGTCTGGTATGTTCCTGTAACTCTTTTTGTAGTGTGAGTCTGCCGGCAGCAAGTCCTGTTCTTATTTTTCTGAGAACATGCACTTTTATTTTTGAAAGATGGTCTCATTGAGCTTAGAATTCTAGTTCGTTTTTTCCCTAGACTTACACTTTAACAAATGATAGCAGCAATATATTAAAGCATTATTCTTTTTAAAAATAAAACATTATTTTAAAAAGCACGTGTCCTGTTGGACCTTTAGATCTTATCCTGATTTCCTTCCCTAGAGCCTGCAGTAACACAGTGGGGAGATTTTTGTGTGTATTTTTCAGTAACTTATGCATGTTTTATATTTATGTTCCCAGGAAATATATGGTTGTTTAGTTACATGTTTCTTGCATTACTCCACCATCCTTTCTTGTGTGTGTTCTGCCCACATCTCCAGAATACACATAATATGTAGCATTTTCATATTTATATATACACATTCCATTTATGCATGTGGGTGAATGGTTTTCTGCTCAGATGCCAACTTCCTCGGTCACAGGGAGAGACACATATTTTCCTGTTATTTGACATCGCTTGGCCTGGCTTCCATGGCAGATTTATGGATGCACAAGCTGGGGAGCGAGGCTTCTTCTTTCCATGGACTCCCTGGGATGCAGCTCTTTACACACAGGCAGAGGTGACACTACACGGGGCTCACGTCCCCTGGCTAATGAAGACATCGTCACGCCTTCATGACTCTGTTTAGGAAAATGTGACTTTTATGGTTGATTTCTAATTCATCGTCACTCTTGGCATCAGTGCAAGGTGCACTTTGCACCCCTATGATCACACTCCCCAAATTCTGTGCCTGCTAGTTTTCTGGTCACCCTCTAATTCAAGTATGGCATTCACATATTCAGCAGACAAAGGTCACATACAGCCCAGCAGCGGCTTTCCTCGAGGAACAGGAGCCAGTTAGCCCTAACAGGTGGCATGGTAGGGGAGGGCCTGCCCATCTCTAAGGCCCTTTTATTCTGACCTTATCGGGGGTGTCGGCTCTAAACTGATAGGTTCCATTGGTCCTGGCTGTGCTGTCTGGTCTGTGCTAAATGCCCCCACCTCACTTGTCATGAACCTCACCTCCAAAGCCCCTGTTCCCATATCATCAGGCTCAGCACCACCCCGAGTCCCTGCCCGATGACCCTTTCAACCCCACCTGCCCTCAGGTTGCCTGCTGCCCAAGGCTCACCCAGAGTTACGATCACAGCATCCTCCTGGGGACACCATCTGCCTCAGGGTTGAAAATAAGATGCTGTCTGTGTGTGTTTCGTTCACTGGGCATGAGCAGGAGCAGGCAGGACTGTCTTTATCCATTACCCTCTGGGACGGCCGCATTCCTCATCCACGGCTGATGTTGTCATGAAAACTGGACATAAAGCAAAGCGAAACTAGAGTCTTTAAACTGCTTCAGCTTTATAAGAGCCTTCCCCAAGGGCCCCTGCCTTTGGCCAAAGCAAAGATTTGTCTTTGCTGATCACTCAGAGTTGCAGTTTCTGGGAAGAACCATTTAAACATCTCTCTCTCTCTCTTTTTTTGGATTTGAAAATATAGAGTGGTACAGAGAAGAAAATTGTAATTGCTAATATTCCCACCGCAAGAATGAACCACAGTTAACATTTGAGCACCCTTGCTTCAAGTAATTTTTGTCTTGGTTTGTACTTGAAGAAATGATGCAAGTAACATGTCAAAATGTTATTGTTTAAAGAATTAGAACATTATAAAGAAAAACAAACATGTAAAAGATGTTTACATCTTATCCTAGCCTTTTGCCCTCTCTGTGGGGAGTTTTCTGAATAACTTATGTATAGTGTGTAGTTATATTCATATAAAATATTTGATCTTCTTTTGTGTCATGCCCTTGCTTCATTATTATGCATTCAGCATTGGATGTTATGTTTGTGTGTTTTATCCATATGAATACATGTTGCTTTTTACTAGTGTTTATGCCTTATCCAGGTCCCTGAGGGGGACATTAGTGTGAAAGTGTTAGTCGCTCAATTGTGTCCAACTCTTTGCAACCCCATGGACTGTAGCCTGCCAGGCTCCTCTGTCCATGGGATTCTCCAGGCAAGATTACTGGATTGGGTAGCCATTCCCTTCTCCAAGGGATCTTCCTGACCCAGGGATCAAACCCGAGTCTCTTGCATTGCAGGCAGATTCTTTACTGTCTGAACACCAGGGCGGTGGACCTTAGGTAACTTTAAAGTGTCCTCTGATATCACCCATCATTCAGTAAATACCCCAGACGTGTCCCTGTGCTCATGGCTCAGAATTCTCTAGGTGCAATTGCTGGGTTGCAGGACCCACACACTCCATTTTTATGAAATTTTTACTGAAGTATAGTTGATTTACAATGTTGCATTAATTTATTCTGTACAGCAAAGTGACTCAGTTACATATACATACACATTCTTTTTCACATTCTTTTCCATTATGGTTCATCACAGGATATTGAATATAGCTCCCTGTGCTATATGGTAGGACCTTGTCTATCCATTTTGCATTGTGTCTGTAAGTCCTTTCTGTTTCTCAGATACGTTCATTTGTATCATATTTTAGATGCCACATGTAAGTGACATATGGTATTTGTCTTTCTCTTTCTGACTTCTTTAGTGTGATCATCTCTAGGCTCATCCACGTGCTGCAAATGGCGTTATTTCATTCTTTTCAATGGCTGAGTAATATCCCATTGTGTACATGCACCACATCTTCTTTATCCATTTATCTGTCAGCGGACATTTAGATTGTTCCCATGTCTTAGTTATTGTAAATGGTGCTGCCGTGAACATTGGGGCGCATGTATCTTTTCAAATTAGAGTTTTGTTTGAGTACATGCCCAACAAAGGAAACTATAAGCAAAAAGAAAAGACAACCACGGAATGAGAGGAGACATTTGCAAATGATGTGACCGACAGGGGTTAATATCCAAAATATACAGACCATTCATACAACTCAGTAACAGAAACAGACAAACACAACACAATCGAAAAAACGGCATAAGACCTGCGTAGACATTTCTCCAAAAAAGACCTTCAGGTGGCCAAGAGACACTTCATGTTTATTGGATGTCAGACCAGATATTTTCCAAAGTGATTGTGTCAACGTGGGTACACAGCTTTCCCCTCCCAGAAGGAAACAGGTACTTGTTTCCTTGTGGCCCAATCAACAAGACACATCTGAGTCATCAGCCTGATGAGTGGGAACAGTTTCTCAGCCCCGGGGGCAAGGCTGGGCGGTAGCTTCCCGCTGACCTTTCCTTCTGTGTCTCAGCTCTGGAGAAGGCATCTGGTCGAACCAGGGCTGTGCGCTCACGGAGGGGAACCTCAGCTATTCCATCTGCCGCTGCACTCACCTCACCAACTTTGCTATCCTGATGCAGGTGGTCCCGCTGGAGGTAAGCGCCAGGCAGGGAGGGGCTCCTGGGCTGCGAGGAGGCGCCCTTTCTACATCAGCCCACAGTGGAGGCTGGGTGCAGGTCTTCATCATCAGCGCCTAGGGGTTTTGGTTGCAGCGGGGCAGATGGGAAGGGAAACCAAGTGGGTGGAGACATCTGCGAAGCTCCACTTCTTTGGTGAAACCCCCTTTGCTCTAGGTTTCCTCGGGCAGCATCTGTGCAGACCCTGGGTTCCTCTTGAGGATTCACGTGTAGCCTGGGAGGTGGTCATTGCAGCATTTTCTGCCTTTGGATCACTGGGTTTTGAAACCCTTCCTGTGCCATGGGTGTATCCAGCAGAACATGGTCCTCGGCTATAAGCAATGTGCCTGGATGTCCAGAGAAGGTGTTGCCAGTGGTGACATGCAGGAGCATCTATGTCCAGGGTGGCCACACCATGTTCTCTGAGCATTTCTGCCATGACATAGGAAACCCTGGACTTCGGACCTGTTTCTAAGGGACCTGACTTCCAGCTCCAGCAGGAGTGAATCCCGAGGTGGGGGAGGAGATTCCCAGCTGACTCCTGGGTCCTCCTCTCCAAAGGGGGCCAAGATGTCTACCCTCACGTTAAGGATGAGAGAGGCCCCTCCTGGCTGGGTTTCTCTGCTTCAGAATATTTCATCTTTATTACCTATTTGGTTTGGTCAGCACTAAGGACTAGAGATTAATTTCTTCAGTTCAAGGCAAGCATAGCTTTTAAGAGGAGAGAAAAATGGCCTTTAAAAATGCAGATGCCCTAAGTATAGCCCAGTAACAAAATTGGAAATTGACATTGGTACAACCCATAGAGTTTTTTTCAGACTTCTCTAGTTCTCTGCATGGCAGTTTTATCATGTGTAGTTTTGTGAACATGTCCAACCAAGATATAGAATTGTTCCATCACCACAGGCTCCCTTGGGTTACCCTTCTAATTTCCCCATCTTCCATCCCAAACCCCTGGCAACCACTAATCTATTCTCTGTCTCTAATTTTGTTACTTCAAGAATGCTATATAAATGGAATAAGATAATATTTAGCCTCTACAGATTGACTTCTTTACTCTGCATAATACCCTTGGAATCCATTCCAGTTGTATCAGTAGTTCATTTTTCAAAATTGCTGAGTAGTTTTTCATGGTATAAATGTACCACAGTTTGTTTAACCATTCACCTAGTTTGTTGACTGCTTTTTGTCATGAAAGGGCACTAAATTTTGTCATATACTTTTTCAGCATTAGCTGAAAGCATGTGGTTTTTCGCCCCTTAATTCTGTTAATGTGGACAGTTTTTTTTTTTTTACAATATTGATAGTTCTTTATTCAGTCCAACTACAAGTCCTTTGTTGAATAAGTGATTTGCAAATATTTTCTCCCCAACTAATTTTTTGTTATTGTTGCTATCCTTTTTGCTGCTCACCTTTTTTATTTGAGGTAACACTGGTTTATAACATTATATCTTTCATGGGCAACATTATTTTCTACTTCTGTATACATTTCATTGACAAAGGGGCAAAAGCAATTCAGTTTCTCTGAGAAAGAATAGTCTTTTCAACAAATGTTGTGGGAGCATCCATAGGCAAAAAGATGCATGTTCCTACACAAAAGAAAGAACCTCAGCCAAAACCTCCCAGTTCATACAAACGTTAATTTGAAAGAGATCACGGACAAATATAAAATGTGAAACTATAAAGCTTTTAGAAAAAAAAATAGGAGACATCTTTAGAACCTAAACCTGGGTGAAGAGTTCTTAAATTTAATACCAAAAAAGGAAGAATTGGTGAATTAGACCTCAGCATAATTAAATGCCTTTTTGAAAGACTTCTCCTTTTTGAAAGACTCTGTTAAGAAGATACAGAGATTTTGAAGTAAAAACAAAAGGTCTTAATAATCAAGGATAGTTTTGCAAAAACAGGAATCTTCAACCTGGCCTTCCAGATACCTTAAAGAACCGTCTGTCTATTTGTATGTCAGAGCTTAAAATCTACTAAAAAAATATTATCTCAGGACTTCCCTGGTGGTACTGTGGATAAGAATCTGCTTGCCAATGCAGGAGGCACAGGTTTGATCCCTGGTCCATATGTCTGATCCCTGGGAAGATTCTACATACTGCAGCGCAGCTAAGCCTGTGGGCCATGACTACTGAGCCTGCACTCTAGGGCCAGTGAGCCACAAATACTGAGCCGGCACGCTGCAACTCCTGAAGCAGGCGTGCTCTCGATCCCATGATCCGAAACAAGGGAAGCCACCACAACGAGAAGCCCACTTGCTGCAACTAGAGAAAGCACTCAGGCAGCAACCAAGACCCACTGCAGCCAAAAAGAATAAAATCAATTCATTAATAAAAAAAGAATATTATCTCAAACTGCCTCTTCCTACCTACCCTACCCCCATTCCCATCCCCCACACTTGTGTTGATATAAGAACAAGACAGATGTTAGGTGGGCCAAATCTGAGACTTACTGAAAGTATATCTTGCCCTGTGACAGAGCAATTCTACAGACAGGAATGAAGACATGACAAGAGTTATGTGCAGAAGTGTTTGTCGCATCTTTACTTATAACTTGGATCTGGAAATCGCCCAAATGTCCACCAACTCTATACTAGATAAAATCTTGTATAGTCATAGATGGAATAATTACAATTTTGATAATGATGTGGCATGAACTTTGTGTCCCCCTAAAATTCACACATGGGAATCCTAACACGTAATGTGATGATCATGAACAGGATTAGTTCCCTTATGAAAGAAACCCAAGAAAGCTCTTTTGCCCCCTTCCACCACATGAGAACACAGAGAGAATTTGGCAGTCCACAGTCTGGGCCCTCACCAGAACCTGACTGTGTTGGCACTCTGATCTCAGACTTCCAGCCTCCAGAACTGTGAGAAATAAATTTCTGCTGTTTATAAGGCAAAAAAAAAAAAAAAAAAAAAAAAGGAAAGAAAANAACCATGATTGGTCCCTGTGTGTGATGGCTTCCCTGGCTTCTTAGGGCCCCAAAGGAAATTGAGTTTTCCTGGTGGGGGCGGGAGAGCAGTGAGGTGATGGGACACCTCCTGGGATCTCCTAAGAAGCAGAGCAGGCTAGGCATCTAGAGACAAGTTTGGTTTCATCCATACTGTGTTTTGGAAATTGAAAAATTTTGTTTATGACTCTGAATTTTTGAAGATTTTGGGTGATGCTGGGACAGAGTTTTCAGAATAGTGAGGTTAGAGCTGGGTAGGGACCTCTTCTTCCTCCTTCGTCAGCAGAGCTGAACCCTGCTGGGAAGTGAGATGCCAGCACAGGGTGAGTCTCTTAGGCCATATGACCTGCCCTGGTACACACTCCAGCAAATCCACCTCCAGTAACAGAGACCAACTCTCTCGGGGCACATCCATTCTTGGGTCTGTCTGTTTACGCACAGACTCTATTCTCCTGAGGTTTTGTAGTCCGGTTGCTGTGTATGTTGGGTGTCAGTAAATATTTGATAAGCCCACGATTGTTTCAGTTTTGTTAGGGAAGGAGAGATTTCTATAGCAACACCCAGGCTGCAAGTGGTGTTTACCTAAGGATCGAATTCTCATCCACCATCATTCGACAAATACCCATCAGGGACCTAAGGTGTCAGGCCTGGAGTTTCATTTGTAAACAAGAAAAACTGTGTATTTCTGCTTTGGAGTAGTTTATATTCTAGTGGGAAAGACAGCTCATAAACAAATTAGCAACTAAATAGGTAATTTCAAAGAGCAATAAGTTTAGGAAGACCCTTGGGGAGAAGGATGGAAGAGATGGCAGGTGGGGAGGAGGGAGGTGGTGGGGAGGAGGCAGGTGTCTCTGAGGAAGTGACAATTGAGCGGCCAGAAGAGGCTCATCTCTAGAAGGCCTGGGAGAAGAATATTCCAGGTTAAGAACCAGCAAATGCAGAGGACAGGAGGCAGGAATAGATGATGTTGGTGAATCATGGAGGGAGGGCAGTGAGCATGGGGATCTTTCTGTTTGCAAAGCACATCATGGATTTTCCTAGCAGACTGTGAATTACTCATGGAGACTCCAGAGAGGACTTGCAGGTGATCCCTTGGAGGATGTGGCGGGGGGCCCGACACCCTCTTCACAGTCCACGCGTGTACATGCCCAACGTGGTCTATCTGGACAGACGACCCTGTTTGCTCTTGTGTTGAAGCATCAAGCGAGAGTTGGGTAAGCAGACTTTTCAGCAACCCCATCAGACAGTTGCCAAGAGTCTCTGGGTTTTGCCTGGGAATCCTGACAACACATGAAATGAAACCCAGGTCTGATGCATCTGGGTCTTTTGAGTAGTGAGCTTTTAGAGGTTCAGAGCAGGCGGTTCTATCATAGGCCTGAGGGGCGTGAGCCCACCTCTCCGCCCAGCACCCTTCGTGGTGAGTCTTTGTCCAGGCAGGTATGAGCCCCAAACAGTCCCAGTAGGAATGTTTTTTAAAGGTGTGACATTTAGGGATGAGTTGATTGGTACTCCTTCCTTTCTGTTTCCATCCTTCCCATGTGCTCAGTCAAAACCCTTTCTCTTGTCGACCTGCAGTTATTTGATCCTAAATCACGGAGCATGCTGGGTTGGGGAACCAATGGGAGCTGGGGAGACCAGCCAGGGGCAATTGCTAGTGATTTAAAGAAATAAGATGACAAAAGAGCGTTGGAAGTGGAGAGAGATCCCTATTTGCAGGACCCAAGCCTCAACTACCCTGACTGCAAGAGATGGACCCAATCTAGTGGTCCATCCCCTCGCTTCCTTTCTCTGCCTCCCTTGCTTGTCCTGGTCCCTGGGTTCTGCTACCACTCGTGTCTCTTAGCATGTCAGGCCCCAGAAAATGAGGAACAAGGCCTCCATGAGGCTCACTCCTCCCCCTCTGTCCTCCACACCGGCCCCTTTGTCCTTCCTCCTGCCAGGGCCTTGGCCCTCATGGCTCACTCAGTGTCCCTCTGGTGTCACGGGGAAAATCCAGCCACTCTCTTTAGCCCCT